CTGGTCGGGCGCTGGGCTGCTAACCTTTCTGTCCCTTTGCCCAGTTCCGACCCACTGATGTTTCTCTAAAAAAAAAGGTTCCTTCTAATAATTGGTCTGGGCACAGTTAGGGGATTTATTTAGGATGTTTAAAATGTCAAACAAAAAGGGGGGGGGTATTCAACGGAAGCTGCGCTATCTGCTGTCTGATTCTGTAAATTGTCGACCACAATAACTTCCATAAATGCTTATAATTGGGTAGCCACTAGCCATGTTTGGATATTGTAAATCATGAAGGAAAGGTTGGTAATTTAATCGGCGAAACTCTGGCTTTTCGCGCTGAACATATCTTTTAACGACAAGCTGTCCTAGTTATCGCGTAGGAATTACATTTTTTAACGTTGAATCTGTCTGGTTCCTTTAATTGTAAATACATAGCGTAGTAAAATGTAAACACATTTTTGATGAGGATGCGGTGATGACGGATCAATATGACGGGAAACCCAGGAATGTCACGGGGAAGCCGCGAGTACGACAGCGAAACACGGATCTGACACTGCATATTTAGGTGGTATATCTTTGCACTGTTTTATTAAATGCTTCTTCATCGAGAAACATTTGTTAGGAATTTAAGGTTTCCACCAGTTTTGGTAAGCATTTACGACGATATTCAGTAGGAAATTTTCAGCATTTGGTCGAGCTATTCCCGATAATGTAACTGAGAGCGAAACCAATTCATCGGCTTTTTGTACGCATGAGATCTTTGTTTATTTCTTATCCTTAGCAATCGACCATAGAATTGGGCACGCAGGCTGATAAACTCATTATTTTGTCCTTGAAGGGTTGCTTAATAATTAAACGCGCCAAAGTGTGATTATTCTCCGCTTCCGAAAGCAAAAATGCCTTTTTTTCTTTATATTCACGTCAACTGCTATTGTCCATTTATGTAGAAATAACTAGAATTAAATGAAATGGAAACGACTCTTGTCTGTTACAATGATCTTCTCTCACAGGAGTATAAATGTTAAATTATTTACTTCGGCTAGCGTGCATCTAATATTCATTGTGTTGCTGTTCTTGCATACGATTTTAATTATCTTTTCATGCCACGAACGATTATGACGTATGACTTAATTAGGTAACTGATAGCAATTGCGATCACCAACAGCCGACAAAGGATAGTGCTTCTCACTGACAAGTAATGAGCTCCAGCGCCCCAGTGACCGTCTCTCGCTCGGCGGCCGCGCTGCCGGTCCCATGTTTTCACGGCCAGCCGCCGCGCCGATTCACCCCTCGGAATGCGTAGTGGGGGAAGGACACGCAGGGGGGAGGGGACGCTCCGGCCAGACTGCGGCGCACAGTCGCCGGCCGGCCCGCTCGGCGCGGGGGCGCCCGCAAATGGCGGCCGGCGCGGTGTGAAAGGAGTGCGGGCCGCTGGACACCGAGCCGGATTGATGACGTCACCACCCTGACTACGGGTGGATTCATGTGGGATACAGAGTAGCGAAACAGGTTCCGATGTAGCATTTAATGTACGATGAACACGTTGAAAACAATATCATTTTGAGGTCGGTTAGCTCGCTCTAGTATCGTAATAACTCAATTTCATTAAATGTCATGGGTAATTAGTACGAATATGTTTGATCAAGATTAAAGTGAATTAAGCTCGGTTGGAAATTTGAATAATTATATTATCCTTTAAAATTGTTAGCAGTCGATTAGATACGTTTGTTGTTCCAAATAAAAACGGCGAGTGATAAACCGGTCGGTCGCGACAATCAATCGGCATGAAGCACTATTGGTTTATGATCTGTTGGCTGTTGGTCTCCTCTCTCTCTCTCTCTCTATCTCTCTCTCTCTCTCTCTCTCTCTCTCTCTCTCTCTCTCTCTCTCTCTCTCTCTCTCTCTCTCTCTCTCTCTCTGTCTCTCTCTCTCTCTGACTCTCTCTCTCTCCCTCTCTCTCTCTCTCTGACTCTCTCTCTCTCTCCCTCCCTCTCTCTCTCTCCCTCTCTCTCTCTCTCTCTCTCTCTCTCTCTCTCTCTCTCTCTCCCGCGCTTCTCAGCACCGATAACAACGAGCGATCGGTGGAAGATATTTATAGCAACCAAGCGGAGGTGCGCCCATGAACTGGGGTCAGCGGACAGTGTCGCGGGCCGGTGGACAGTCTCGGAGGCCGCCGGCAGCGGCCGGACCTGGCTCGCTAATGGTTCGCTGGTACCCCTCGCGCCGTCAACAAAGGGGAGAGACGGGGTCGGGCTGATTCCGGCTCCGAGTGAGCGGCGGTAGGTCGGAATTGGATTAATATGAATACTGCGCATGCTACACCGACGCTACCGTGCGGCAATTTATGGTGGAAAGTGGATGACGTCACACGAGAAGGTGATATCCGGATGGGAGAGAGCGACAGAGTGAATTGAAAGGCTAGTTTAAAATTAATTATTTAGCGTTAATATGTACAACGATACGTGTTCGATGGTGAATATTAAATGGAAATTAAATCTTGTTTATTAACCAATTCGCACCAATGCATTTTAAATTTTCATTATATTTCGTACTCGTGGTCAAATGCTAGCTTGATTTCAGTCTGTAAGCCGTAAGGATAATGGGACTTCACATTTTCCCAATGAGACTAGAATACCCGACTTTGACTCAGACAGCGAGGCCGTAAGTCTATGCATGTCGCTCCCCTGTGAGTGATATGCCTGCCAACGCGACTCTCGCACTTACTTGAGGTATTGGGAAACAGGGTACGGGTTGCAGTTGCCTACTGAGAATTTTCATGGGAGTTGAAATGAAACATTGTTAACTAAAATATTTGCCTTATTTTGTTGGGTTACCTTATTTGAAGTCGGTCGTGCTAATTGTGGGTTTCTGATTGAATGACGGGCTGGTGAGATAATTGCCCTTATTATCAGTTTGTTCCTTGAAGGCGTACACGGTTCTAGCGAATGTCCAAGCGGAAGGGATGAGAAGCCAATGAAAGGGGAGGGAAAATATACAATCGAAAAATGGATTTCCTGAATGATGATCAATAGGGATCGACCCCACTAAATGTTAGGCCTCGATTGAGTTAGCCCTGGGTGGTGATAAGGTCACGCGAGCCGTCGCTTGGGATGTGTACCGGCGGGTTGGTCGCCGCGAAAGGATGGTGTTTCTAGGATTGACAGCCTCGGAGGCTGGGCAGATTTTAGGCCGCCGGGTTGGCCCGAAACCCCTGAACTATGGCTGGAGCGAGATGCGGCTATTAGTATCACGGACGGACCTTAGTTACCCAGCCCGGTTTCAAAACGATAGGTAGGTCCGCTATCGGTCCCTCAATTGATCGGCGCAGGACGTCAGTTGAAGAACGACGTAGATAGTTTCGGAGGTGTTTAGGACCCCGGGCGTCTTAGCGAGGGAATCGTATGCCGCCGGAAGAGTAATGCCCCGCGAAGGAACGAATAGTGCCGCAAGACGGGGGTGAACCTTAGATACCGAGCATTCGGTCGGGTGATCGCAGTCAGACGGTGTTGGCCACCCGCAGTCAGCCGAGTAGCTCCGGCCATGCTTTGGTTCTTTCGAATAGGCCTGTGACGACAGCTTAACTACTAGCCACGGATAGATAGGGCTCTGGGCACCTATGTGCAGGTAGTCGATGATGTGTGCCGAGTGGATGTCCCCGAGTGGACCTGCGTGCGTGGGGGGACGCGTGTCGTCCCTGTAAGTTAGCCGACGAAGGCTACCCCATTTAGATCGCCGGGTTGGCCCGAAAACCCTGAACTATGGCTGGTGCGAGATGCGGCCATTAGTATCACGGACGGACCTTAGTTACCCAGCCCGGTATCAAAATTTAAATAAGTCCCCCGTGGAAACCCGGACTAAGGAGTCTCCTGCGAGCCCTGGTCTCGGGGCTGCGGGCCGGAGACATTTATTTTTTTGTGTGCAGGCATTGGGCATGGTCACTATAAGATGCGTAACTCAAGGGTCGAGTGCCGAAGCAGGAGGCGGTTTGTATCTCCTATTCGTGTATTATGAGTGTAACGAAGTTTTCGCCTGATTTACGGAGCATAGTGAAGGAACAAACCTTACGAAATTAAAACAATGACCCATTTGAAATCCATTGTATGCACTGATACGTAAACGGAAGTTCCTGTCTTCAAACTGTTTTTTTTTTATAATTACGCGTATAGTTTGATTAGTCTGAACCTGGGTACCACTGGGGGATTGTAGGAAAACGGGGGAGGAACAGGTTTGCCACCTGAAATATTTTTACGATGCATGGAAGAATGAATGAGTGGCCGTGTGAATGAAGAACTAATGGTGAGAGCGTGAATGAGTTATATCCAGTGGGAGGAGGCACCCTCAACTCAGGGGATAACTTAAGAACAATAGACGCACAATTGTGAGATTTCGCTGGAACATTGATTGATAGACATTTTTGAGATTTCGTTAGAATATAACAGAGGGAGCGTAGGCAGAGAGAAACATCAGGCAACCTTTTAATATCCCACCGTGAATGCCCACCAACCCTGTGACCCATGCCGCTGTACTGTGTGTAGCAGTCTATGTGCCCGCCAGTGAATGACCAGCCTCGCACACACACTGATCAGTAGCCCGACACCCCGCTACACACCTTTATAAATCTGCCTACATACTCCAAAGGTTATTGCATCCAAGGTCGGCGTTACTGACCACTCGGATATACCTTTTCAACGATGAAAGGTTACAAAGCCAGCCTGGCAGTGCAGGCTGGTCACGCCAAATACGACCGGCTTGGGTCAGGAGAACCTTTCGCGTGGGTCGATGTGAGTTCACCTGACCTCAGTCAATATTAAATTCCTGGAGGCACTGAACCTAGTGATACGATTTTTCGCATTCGCTAAAAATTCGATGATAAACTGTTAATTTAATGCACATCTTGAATGGCAAATTCCCCGGCTGCGGTAATTCTGGGCTATCTAGGTATATAATTCTTCAACGGTGGGAAAGCTAATTAAATATCCCATCCTCTCTCCCTTTCTCTCTCTCTCCCTCCCTCTCACCTGGAGCGCCTCACAGAGCGGCCTGGCCACCTGTACGATGACCAGCTGATGTCTACAGTCGTCCAGCGCTGCCGCCAGCGAGCGACGCATGTCGGCCAGCAGTTTACAGAGCTGCAGCAGGGCGGACGAGGCGGCGGAGGGCGGCGCCCCCTCGGCCATCAGAGCGGCCACCTGCTGCTGCCACTGCTCCTCGGCGTCCGTGGGAGCCGCGCCGCCGCCAGACGCCTCCTGGCACAGCGGGAGGAGGGTCAGTGGGGAGGGCGAAAGTATCACCATGAGGTAGCTGCATGGTCATAACAGCTACAAGCCTTCTTAGGACAAAAAAGGTATAAGATAAAAATAAAAAACCTTACACGAGGTTAGTATACGTCTAAATTTTAATGCCACTCTTGAGCGATTAGTGTCTAAGGTAAGCCTCACGAACAACGGGATCGAGACACGTATTCACGATAAGAAAAACGTGAAGTGTTAGTGAGAGCGAAAAGTCTGAGATCGAATAGCGATGAGGCTCAGCTCCCAGCGGCCACTCACGGCGAACGCATCCAGTAGGTGTCCGAGACTTGGCGAGGCGTTACAGGGCGTCAGGTCGGCCGTGTTCTCGTGGCTGCTGACGTGGCTGCCCGTTCCGGACGACTCAGACGACTCTGAGGCGCGCCGCTCCCGGGATAGACGGCTGCGGGGGAGAGGTATGTATATATGTGATGACTTGAGGTACACTCAACTATGGTAAATCGTCGCGATAGTTTGAGAACCGTGAGCTCCCACTAAATCGGATCAATTGATATCATAGTTAGCGGAGGTCAATCACACGCCCAAGCATGGCTTCGTGGCAGCGCAGCAAGCGCACTCTTCTGAAGTACCTTCCACAATAACGAGCGGCAAGCCGTATTTGCATTCGTATATGAAACACACATTCTACTCACTACTTTTCCCAGATCAGCGCGCGCGCACGTCAGCAGAAAACCCACTACTAACAAACATTAGCATTCACCAGCCGTCGTCACAACTCCCACGGTGAGTAACCCTGCCAGAATGAATGAAACCAGACCCAGTCATTCCCATCCACCAGACAATAGCATCATCAGACCGCGCGTCACCGCCCCAGCCTTTTGTACAGTGAGGTAATTATGGGTAGCCCGCTCGGAGAACCGACCTACGCGCAATGGAGCAGGACTGACGCGACCGTCCACGCACCTTGTTACGCTGTTCGATGTACCCACTCGTAACGGGGGATACACCGGACGTCTGACCCGCGCCGTCATTCAGAAAGATACACTAACTACCCAACCCGCGCCCCTATTCAAAAGATACACATCCCGTTATTCGACCCCGTCCGCCATCTCCTCACAGCGCTGAACGAATGGCACTGACGTGGAGCCGTCAACAGGCCGGATCAGCACGGAAAATCCAGACCCAGTGTGATTCTATCGGCTGTACCGGAGTTAACAAGCCGGGTTTTGGTAATCAGAGCAGCGCAGGCGATTGAAAGGACGTATACCTGTGCAAAACAGAGTGAATAGGAGGCGGCCGCATTCCACGAATCTAACTAGTGTCATGCTTTGCCGTGAACACTGGTTCAAATAGAGCCAAACCGGCCATCCCGTGAGACTTCTCAAAGCTAATTGGATGAAGCGCTTCATTTGTGCTAACTGTGGTTCTGTGTCGCCAGACAGTCTGGTCGGATCCCGGATCTCATGACCTTGTGGCCAGACTGCCAGCCAAAAGCTGTTCAGTGTTCATCCCAACACAGCCCACCAATGGCGCAGTGGGGTGCTCTGAAAACGGAGCAATTAGTGCATGCGTCACCGCACCACTTGATGGCTGTATTCACACAACGAATACGTCAGAGCAAAACTTGAAAAGGCACTGTTAGGCTGGGTGCAAGAACACGACTCGAATGGACAAGCGGTATATTTTGAGACAGATCTCATTTCTTGCGATGCACATACGTTACATGTTTTGGATGTAGTCTGAACTGATAGCCTTCTCTGAGCAAGGCTTGTGATGCAAGACCTGAATCAACCCAGAACGAGGTGCGCACAAGCTTCTTTAATTATATTTGGACAGCACTACGCACATGTTCCTCGATAAACATAACTGAGCGGAGGGCATGCATCGGTCGAGTGCAAATGTCATCTTCAGTACCATTTAACGGAGTTGATTCAATGAGTTTCGCTAAGTCAGGGTTATCCAGAGTGGTAAATACTAGAGCTATTACGTAAGGAGTACGGAATCGTGTTGTAAGTAGCACTGACGTCACAGTCGCAACGTGACCTACAGTTGAGACGGAGTCACTGCTCGACGGAAACACTCGAAGCTGAATCACTCTCATATACTCCCGAGGCCGAGAAGGAACATACAGTGCGCTTAATAACCAGGTACTGTGCGTCTGCGCTTTGTCAATAAACATAGCATAAAACGAGACAATCAAAGTGCTCGACATTTCAACGTAGCGTTCAAAACACCAATCAAAAGCGATCATGTGAGTAAGAAGAACGACGTCTATCTTAGTGCGACTTAGTTTTTGCAGCTGCAAAAGAAGTTGATTCCACTTTATGTAAGCCTTGGGCTCTCCCTCTCTCCCTCCCCCTCTCTCTCCACTCACCCGTCGCCAGCGAAGATGGCGGCTCCGGCGGCCGATGACGTCGACTCGAACGAGGCGCCGTCATCGAGCGGTGACACGCTGCCGCCGTCGTCATCGGAAGACTCATCATGTAGCGTCGTCTGCGACGGGGAAACGGTCATCGTTACCGACACAGCAACAGCGGCAGGCGGACATCGGACAGCGCCATCAGAATGGGATCCGCGCGGCGCCCATCACAGAATCACAGTCGACTGAGCGGGGCAGCCCGCAGTTCTGAATACCAAACACCCAATCTATGACCACGCCTCCAGTTCGGGCCGCTGCAGTGTCACACAGCTGTGACTCCAAACGTACCACTCGCACCTCACGCCTCGTCGCTCACGTTTATTCCAATGCTCTAAAGTCTTTCATCCCCATCAGCATGCCAGTTTCGTCGTGTCTCATGAGCCTGCACCCATTTCACAGTCCAGTCACCTTGTCGGTATTGCAGCGTTTCACCCCAGTACCGTCCTACCCCCTATCCATCCCTAGTCCTATACTATCAGCCCCGCAACCTCCCATCTCCCGCACCTTCTCACCTCCCTCTGCCGACGCTCTCAGCTCACACCTTCTCACCTCCCTCTGCCGACCCTCTCAGCTCACACCTTCTCACCTCCCTCTGCCGACCCTCTCAGCTCACACTTTCTCACCTCCCTCTGCCGACGCTCTCACCTTATCAGCACTATGGTGAGTCGGTGAGAGCAGGGAGGAGTCGGTCGGCGGCGCCGCCGACTCGTCCGCCTCCAGGTTGGTCAGCGACCGCCGGCGCACGCCCCAGTTGAAGTTGTCCAGACTCTCACCCTGAAACGGACAGGGGGCGGATCAGGCCAGCGGTCACGGCTGGGTCACAGTATCAGAATGTGTAGTTTGGGCCACAGTCACTCTCTGACGTAGAGGTCACGATATGGTTCATGATAGAGGATAGGGTGTAGGGTATGGAGAAGAGGTTATAGATTACGGTATGGAGATTGGTTTCTGGGTAGGAAAGATTTTGAACTAAGATCATGATAGGGAATGAAGAGGTCAGGGAAGAACGCTAAAATGTCAAGACAGGCAAAGCAAGTAACCAGACCACAGCTAGGGTTGTGAGGCAGTATTGACCCGCGCCACGGCAGGGACGACCTCCGTGGCCACCTCCGGGCCCCCGCCGGGTCACGGCGCTAGCTGAGCCGTGCAGCTGAGGCGGGGTAAAGGCGCGCTCCCCTGCGTCACTGATGACGTCTAAATGAGCCAGCGGTCTGACTCTGACAGAACCACTCGGCACGGACCAGTCGGAAGCGGGCTGTGACGCCAACCGTGACCAAAATAACGCTGCGCCGGCCTCCAGTAACGCTCCATTACCGCCCATTTACCAATTGGGTTTCTAATTAGCACTGTGGACTGAGTGTGGGGTACTGGTGCGCGGTTGAATTGCCAACATTCACGATCAAACGATTTTGGCCGCTTTGATCAAACCACAACATAGGACATTGGAAGGCTGTATAGTGTATACCTGTATGTTCCATCGAACAACGAGACATGACACTCGAGCAATGTTTGATGTTAAAATAGAGTAGTTCATAGTGCTATTACGCAAGCACTAATAAGTATTCTTGTAAAAGGCCGGAAGCCATTAAGCTTCCATGAAACACCACAAACTGTGAGAGGATGTCAACAATAATAGACAGATGATAAAACCAGTAAAACGCCTTTTGGGGCGACTAACGGAGCGAGCGAGAGGGTGAGTCTTGCACGTGCGAAATTTCGAGGGCGTACCTCCAGCTGACTTGTGCACGGCACCCTACTAACTGGTCTCTAGCGATGTTCCAAATTTGAGCACAGTCGGCCCAGCCGTTCTCGAGATCTGGAAGCGGCACCCTGCACGTGCGCACGTGCAAAATGGGTCCCAACTGACTTGTGCACGGCACCCTACTAACCGGTCCCTAACCATGTACCAAATTTGAGCGCCATCGGTCCAGCCGTTCTCGAGATCTGGAAACGACCCCTGCACGTGCGCACGTGCAGCAGCACCCCAACTCTGGCACATGGATATGCAGTGCCTAGTGGGTGCCTACCTACATGCCAACTTTCAGCGCAATCGGCCGAGTAGTTACCGAGATATTGCAACAATTACAAAAGTGACACCTCTTCGTTTTGCACGTGGCACGTGCATAAGGGGTCACCCACATGCATCGGGAATAGTCCAGTACTTGGTAGAAGGAATGAAGCTACCCTACAAAAATTACCGCGTGTAAATCGATCGAGTGGTTGCTGAGATATAAGCGTCGCAAAAGCGTGACCACGGCCGGCCGGCCGGCCGGCCGCTCATACTCAGAAATTTCCGTTAATCTAAGGAAAGACCAGTATAACGCCTTTTGGGGCGACTAACGGAGCGAGCGAGAGGGTGGGCCTTGCACGTGCGAAATTGCGAGGGGTTACCTCCAGCTGACTTGTGCACGGCACCCTACTAACCGGTCTCTAGCGATGTGCCAAATTTGAGCACAATCGGCCCGGCCGTTCTCGAGATCTGGTAGCGGCACCCTGCACGTGCGCACGTGCAAAATGGGTCCCAACTGACTTGTGCACGGCACCCTACTAACTGGTCCCTAACCGTGTACCAAATTTGAGCGCAATCGGTCCAGCCGTTCTCGAGATCTGGAAACGACCCCTGCACGTGCGCACGTGCAGCAGCACCCCAACTCTGGCACATGTATATGCAGTGCCTAGTGGGTGCCTACCTACATGCCAACTTTCAGCGCAATCGGCCAAGTAGTTACCGAGATATTGCAACAATAACAAAACTGACACCTCTTCGTTTTGCACGTGGCACGTGCATAAGGGGTCACCCACATGCATCGGGAATAGTCCAATACTTGGTAGAAGGAATGAAGCTACCCTACAAAAATTACCGCGTGTAAATCGGTCAAGTGGTTGCTGAGATATAAGCCTCGCAAAAGCGTGACCACGGCCGGCCGGCCGGCCGGCCGGCCGGCCGGCCGCTCATACTCAGAAATTTCCGTTAATCTAAGGAAAGACTACGCTCGCTTCGCTCGCTCCGTAACTACGCTCGCTTCGCTCGCTCCGTAATCACCGGTCTAACTCAGCGGATGACACAAGGTATGGCGTTAACGATCACACCGCGTTTATAGGCGCTGTTATTGCGTCACTGATGAATGGGGACTAATACTTGGGACTGATAAAGTATCTGAAGCCAGATTTTCACGTGCACTCGCGCCGAACACCGAACACCTTGTGACGGATTGTCACCCACCGCGCTTCTCTCATTTCCGGTCTAAATTTCTGGGCAGGTAGAGGCTCAGGTATCCATACATTCCTAATCCGACAAACAATAGTTTACAGTCACCGGTCGGAGCCGTGCGCAATGCGTTACCAATGGACAGCTATTGGAGTTAGTGCCTCTCGGATGTCACTCAGCGATGGGGGAGGCGTCAGAGAGGGGGGGGGGGTACACTCGGGGGCAGATTGATGTTCTACAACTCTTTATCCGCCGGCTTCCTTATTCTTTATGGCTCAGCATTGGCAGTGCAGCCGCCTGGTACCGGTAGACTGTGCCGCTTCACTTACTTGTCAAGCGGCACAGCCTACCCACCCGTATGACACCGGTCTGGGTCGGTGGCTGGAAGGTGATGTGGGCCGCCTGTGACGTCAGCGCAGCGGTGAGGGCCGAGCCCGGAGGCATGGCTCGGGTCGGCGCGGCGCGGCGGCTGGCGAGGGCTGGGGAGTGAGGTGGGGTGGGAGCACGGACATCGCGCGGCTGAGCGAGTGTAGTTAACTTTCGCGTCTCAAGGCGCCAATTATTCTACCTAACAATTGTGCTAAAGCAGTTGTTAAAATGTTCTATCCCCAAGACAGCGCCTATCATCATACTTGCAATGCACATTACGACACACTTAAGCGTGGCAATGGGACAGCCGATAGAACTTATGTCACTCGTGCATCGAGGTGCGGAGCTATATTTTGTATAACATATTAGTATTAAGGCCTTGATTGAGCAGATTGGTGTCTATTGTTTCGCACGGCAATCGTCCAGAGACGTGGGAACTGGGGGTTATGAGTAGTGCCGCAGCCAACGCCCCAACTTAAAGCGATTATTACTGTTGCTCTAATATGTGGTGGTCGCAGCCCCAATAGCAAACCCTTTCAACTAGGAGCCAAAAAGTCGGCTACTCAGGGGGGTTCGAACCGGGCTTCTCCCACCGGCCAATTCACGACACGAGCGTTCATCCACCGAGCTACCGAGAATGGTCCTCGTATACACAAAACAAAATGACATTCACCCGCTGACCGCCAATGACAGGATCGTGACATTTGATCGCGTTTGACCGCGGCGGGTGGTCGCTGGTTTCGGCAGCTCAGTGGATACACGCTAGCAATAGCGTCGTAGGGTGACGGGTTGGAGAAACCCGGTTCGAACCGTCCCAGGTGCGCGACTTATTTGTTCCTAGTTGGAACGGTTTGCTATTGGTGGCTGCGACTTCACATTAGAGGAACAGTAAGAGTTGCTTAAAGGGACCCTCCCACCTTAACATTAGTTTTGAGTCGAGATAGCCAAGTTTGCGGCCAGGCTCAGAAACCACCATTTATCCTGGTCGCAACCCCCACAGCTTTATGGTGTTCAATAAATTTCTTCCCTTTACTTGCAGGGTGGGACCAGCGTGGTCCCTATCTCTTAACCATTACGGGAATCTGATGACGTCATCAGGCTTTCGAACGTCCGTTAAATGTTTGACTAAAACGTTTTGTAGCACGCGGTGGTATATGCTGCTTTGCGCGCAACAAATGCCGCACTTTCAAAGAAAGTCGCTAGGAACAGCGGAGATCCCAAAAAGTAAACAAAAGTAAAAGTCTAATATCTTGAAAACCGGTGAATATTTTTCGATGAAATTTGGTAGATATTCGTTTTTGCTCTTTCTGAACCGAGCGACATCAATTTCATGCCAATTCATTAACTTTTTTGAAGGTGGGAGGGTCCCTAACCCGCGCGGGGCTGGGGGGGGGGGTAAATTTTACCCCCCCCCTCGCGAATTTTTGCGATATCTCAAAAACGGCGGCCAAACTTTCAGTACCTTTTCTTACATCAATTTGACACGTTCCCTGAAAATTTGAGCAAAATCCGTCGGAAAATTTTTGAGAAATTGACGTTTTAGTGACGTCATGTTCGCCATTTTCGCCTCAAAAACGGCAAAAGTTCAAACGCCGCTAACATCTTCATTTTTAAAGGAATCAAGACGTAACAAAAAAGGTTATACGTAATTTTACTGTGTCTATCAAATGGCTATCTCGGTTTTTTGAAAATTTTGGATTTTGGCCTAATTTTTTTCAAAAAACTGACTTTTGGGAAAATCATTATAAAATCCAAAATTTTGAGTCTATCGAAAAAACCGGAATATATGTCAGAGAAGTGGTCTATGTGCACCTACATACCAAATTTTAGAAGAATCGGTTCAAAAATGTGGGAGTTATTCAAAATTTTATGACGTCACGACACACATATTTTTTGAAAAATGACTTTTTTGGAAGTTCTAGACCTCGTACGGAAACAAAAATAGCACCATTCGATTCGCCGTGAAAAACTGCATCAGATAGACACCTTTTTAGGCCTTAACAACCAACTTCAAAATTTGACCTCACTTGACCTGACCTTGACCTGACCTCGACCTGAAATTCATCCAGAGGTGGTCCATATCACTTATTGAGTGTGCCTATTGAATTCTATGAGTAAAATGACCCATAAAACATGTGTCGCACATGCCCTTTTCTATATTTTGTTTTTTGGTGACCTGACCTGACCTGACCTGACCTTGACCTTGACCTCTGAATGATATTGTATGCAGCGAATATTGTCTTGGTAGCCTAAGAACACGTTTTGGGCGATCAGTCTCAGTCCATGACTCCATTCTTCGGCAACTACGGTGCAAGGCCGATACTGTAGAAACTTGCAATTTGTACCCTTGACCTGACCTTGACCTTGACCTCAAACTTTAAATTAAGTACATGTTTTTAGTAGTTCGTGATGAGAGCTTTCGATTGGCGTTTGAATTTTCCAAATCGGACCATTAGTTCGGGAGATAACAGGGGGGGGTAAAATTTACCCCCCCCCCAGCCCCGCGCGTTCGGCTGGAGACCCCAGCCTCGCGCGGGTTAAAGTTGGGACGCCGCGCTATCCAAAAACACCAGTTCCCACGTCTCTGGACGATTGCTGTGCGAAATAATAGACACCAATGAGCTCAATCAAGGCCTTAATTAATACTTATCTGTTATAAACAATGTAGCTCCGCAACTCGATGCACGTGTGATATAAATTCTATCGGCTGTCCCAATGCCACGTTTAAGTGTGTCGTAATGTGCATGGCAAGTATGATGATAGGCGCTGTCTTGGGGATAGGACATTTTAACAACTGCTTTAGCACAATTGTTAGGTAGAATAATTGGCGCCTTGAGACGCGAAAGTTAACTACACTCGCTCAGCCGCGCGATGTCCGTGCTCCCACCCCACCTCACTCCCCAGCCCCCGCCAGCCGCCGCGCCGCGCCGACCCGAGCCATGCCTCCGGGCTCGGCCCTCACCGCTGCGCTGACGTCACAGGCGGCCCACATCGCCTTCCAGCCACCGACCCAGACCGGTGGCATACGGTGTGGGTAGGCTGTGCCGCTTGACAAGTAAGTGAAGCGGCACAGTCTACCGGTACCAGGCGGCTGCTGCCAAAGCTGAGCCATAGGAACCCGGTGGATAAAGAGTTGTAGAACATCAATCTGCCCCCGAGTGTACCAGTAGGGACTCTGATATCGTCCGACATACTACGACGCATTGCCCCCATTTCAGCCGGTCGAATGAGGCGGCACACTCACAGGGACACGCCGGCTGAATTCAGAGTCGGGTAGGTGGGGGGACTATGCGTGAGGGGGGGGGGGGGGGTGATGAATGTGGGAGGGACGGGTAGGCGGTGGGGTGCGCTAATGAGCGTTCTAAATGGGCGGCCGAGTGAGGTTATTACTGCTGAGCAGCTGGTAACAGGGTGACGTTGACCCGGGGTCACTGTGCCAATATAACGGTCACACATCCCCGAGCGGTCATTGTCTCAATATGACGGCCACTCACTCGACAAACGAATGGCGAGCCGTCAACCCGCCACTCTGGCGGGCCATTATAACAGTATGGCACGTGACGGGTGGGGGAGGGGGAACAATGTAAGATATGATATTTAAAATGTTTTGGCCGTGGTAAGCTGAAGTTGACGATTGGTGGTACAAGATCGATCGAGGTTGATAACATCTTACACGATATTATGTAATACGAATAACAATTGCAGTTCACTTGAGGCGCACGTGATAAAAAGTCAGAACGTTTATGGTTGGTGGGGCAGAAAAGGCAGTGTTCAGCCTCCGGGTTATCATAAGGGAAATTATGCAGCTGACTTAACTCTTACATCAGATCACACATAAATCATTTCAAGCAGCCGGCAATATTCCCCAGCAACCGGCAGTTTCGTTACCCAGTTTTATCTGGCCATTTTTACACACTATTACCATATACCTAAAGGAAAAAGTAAAGCTTATGCAACGCTAAAAAGCTTCCCCATATCAACGCCGGATATACATTTGGCAAGCTTTTAGGCTCTTGAATAGACGATGAAGCCTCCCACTCAGCTACAAGAAAAGGTTCCATATGGGAGAACGAGTATAAAAAAGGAGTACAAGCTATTGTAATTGTGTACCGACAGGCTTCTTCGAAACGTTTATAAGAGCCAGGCTGCTTCAATCCAGTATTTTTTTCTCAATGTCAAGACGGAAGTGAAATCCATCAGCCACTGTAGGCGGTGCATTCTCCGGAGGCAGTCTCAACGGTCCGTGAATGACATATTTCAGACTGCTTCCGCTCTTCTGCCGGTGAATAGACTATATGGCCCGCCACGGCCCCCACCAGTATTGACGAACGGGGCTCCTCGCATAAAAGGAGCGGCGCTTTTATAGGTAATACCTGTTCACTTCTGATGAGCGTCCATAGGAGACCCACCGTGTCAGCTCAGCTCGGGACCACCAGCTGCCTTCCTCACTACTCCCCAAACGTGTCACACAAAACATCCCGTCCTTTCTCAACCAGTCACGGAAAACCTCCCTCGCTCCACCGATCACCCAGCTGTCTCCATCTCTCTCTATCCGGCGATATGGCCCACTAAAGCGGGCGGCGCCCCTCGACCGCCGGCAGACCGGCCTCGTTAAGCTCGGCAGCTCGGCGGCCCGATTGGCACTCCATCTCAGCCTACCACATGTCTCCGTTAACGGTCAATCAGCGCCTAATGGCTCATCTAAATGCCGCCGTCAGCCCGCCGGTGGCTCACCGCCCGCCTGAAGCCGGCCCATTATCCAGAGGCGGCACATGGCTTCAGCAGCGCACCGAGAGAGCGGCATTTAACCGCCACGCCGGAACCGGCCGCTCAGGCCCGCCGCTCCCCGCAACATTGACAGCGGACTCATTGGAGCCTGTAGCAATACCCAGCGACACAATAGCAGATGCTAAATGCGGCGCGGGTCTTAGGCAGTCATTGGGTTGAATAGCATTGAGCAGATGACCTGCACCCACGCTCGTCCCGTCGGCCGCCCGCGCACCGGCACGAACATGCCTCCATTTAGCGGCTCCAGTCGCAGCAGCCCACACACAGACCGCTGTCGGTCTCAGTGAACAACAGACATCGCGGCACCAGGGTCGGTGCTAATTTAGGCTTCACACGTTTTCCAAACTTAGAGGGACTCCGAACCGACTCACTCACCCACTAACCCATCCTAAAAAAACTTCCACTTGCTTCCGGAATAAACCACAACTCATAGTAGGCTCCATGACTCCTCTGCCAACTCATCGCCGACTCAAGTTGATTCTCCAAAGACTACGTACAATTCCCGACTCGCGAGCAACTAAGGCAGCCTGACTTAATGCTTCAGCCCTCATCTCATGAATCTCGAAATACAGAGATCTAGATCCAGAGATCTAGATCTAGATCCAGAGATCTAAATCCAGAGACTCGGATCCGACTCTAGGACTCACCTCCTGACTCTCGAGCTCATACTCGAGGAAGTCGAACTCGCGGATGACTCCGAACTGCTGCGCCTCGTGGTCGTCCAGTGACTCTGCCGACTCGTGCGGCGGCACTCCGGACACCTCCTCCGTGGAGGAAGCCATCGACGACTGGCGCTCCAGCATGTCCGACGTCTGGCTGAAGATCACCTAAGGGAGCGGACGGGCGCGGTCAGGTCAGGTCAGGTCAACGGTAAACTTGTCGACAGTGTAAACTTATGGGTCATTCAGTCGACAAGGTCATGCCATGGGAAAACAAAACATTAAAACCGCATTACACAAATATCACGAAAATCGGATACGGGTCGAAAATCGAATCGGATCGGATCGAAAACCGTCGAAAACACTGAACGTTCTGTAGTTAATTGAATAAATGATATTCATTACAAACGCAGGGAGGGATAAGCTTTGAAATGTAAAATATCGTAGATTCAGTACAAAGATGGATAAAAATGACTTCCCAACTCCAATATACATCTGTACATCCGTCCTTCCCGATATTCGTCCGTCCCTTCCCGCGGTCCCCGTTCACCACTCACCGAGGGGCTTTTTGGCAGTCCGACGCGGGTACCGCAGCTGATGAGAAGGTTCAGCAGGCGGTCCCGAGTCCGGCTCTGTGGGGACGGTAGACAGTTACAGTAACACTCACGGGGTCACAATGAGTTGACAGTCAGCCACAGTCGGTAACAATCACTGAGCCAGAATCAGATGACAGTCAGTAACACTACCTAGTCAAAATATCAGTCAGTCACAGAGGGTAAAGGTAGAGAGCGGAAGGAGACTGTGAAGGGACCGCGACTAGTACGGGCGGGACATAAATCGAAACCAGTGGCGCTGGATGCTAGAAGGGTGGTTCGAGTTCACCACAGCGCGATTTGAGCGCGATTCGCTTCAGAGTGAGTTACCTGAGTTTCATTTTCATAACACTGGCAATAACCGCACACCACGCAGCCGGTTTTTACCTGCGTAGTATGTCACCGTGCGTAGTATGTAATTCAGCGAGGATATTTCGAAGAATGGAGAGAAAAGAAGAAATGAAATGATAACGAGGCTGTCCAGTGTCCGCGGCCTAACATGGATCGTTTGATGTCAGGATAACTGTTCTGTACTTAATGACTGGGCGGGCAAAGGAAGAATAAAAAGTGTCCGCCGTAAGCAGGGCGTACCGTGAAACGAGGTACACGGACAGTACATTTCCCATCCGAGTGCCCAGGTAATGGCCAATTTGCCGAAGGCTGCTCAACAAGCAAGTGGTGCAACGTGCTTTCTAAGGAAGAATAAAAGGGAAAGAGCTGAAGAAAAAGATCAAAATAAATAATTGTTGACCACCATAGGCTCCAGACGTGTGAAATCGACTTGTTAGTTCTTGTGCAGTCTTGTAACGAGACATCGAGAGTCGTACAGAACACTGGTCTTACGAGTACACCCCGGATCTGACCCTACCGACTCAATAGCAAACGATAAGGCTTGTGTATCGAAATACCCAATGACGACGAAGGCCCGTCTACGCCTTCAGCTCTTTCATTTACTTCTACCACCATTCTCCCACGGACCTCCTATCTCCATGAACCAGAGCCATTGCCGCCTCCACCCCCGTGCCCTGCATCCAAAAGCCAGTGAAATGTCCTTCCCATGTTTCCCGGTACCCTGCACTTGTTTGCTTGTTACAGTCATGACTAACTATCTATACATGGCGTGAACATTTATTATGAACGCAAATACATCTAATCTAACTACTATCGCTTTACCTTGCGAAGCCTTCCCCTAAAGGGAGAAAACCAAGCTGCAGGTTAACACTGTTGGCCAATGGTGTTTCTATACACTGGTCTATAATTATTCTACCAACATCAACATCTAATAATTATTCATCGCCTTCCTCCCAACCTACCTTTGAGAGCCATAGTCGCTTCCAGCCCTACCTGTGACGCCAGGACGGCTTCCAACCCTACCTGTGAGAGCCAGGGTCACTTCCAGCCCTACCAGGGCTGCTTACAGTCTTACCTGTGAGAGCCAGGGTCGCCTCCCACCCTACCTGTGAGAGCCAGGGCCGCTTCCAGCCGCCGCTGGCGACGTCAGCCAGCGATGTGGAGACTGAGCGGCGCGGGGAGGCGCCCTCGCCGCTCTCCTCCTTCTGCAGGGCGTCACAGGCCGGCTTCACCACCCGGCGACCGATGATGGGCGTCTGGGACACGTCGAACGTAAACTCCATCGTCCGACCTGACCAGAGGGGAGGGATGTTACACAAGGCCGTGAAGGAAGGGCAAAAACAGCTCAAGTGCTGAGGTGATCGGACAGGGACAGTAGGGACGGAATGGGACAGCCAAGATTGAGGAACGAAGACCGGGCAGAGACGACGGACAGAGACGAGGCGCCGGACATCCAGAATGGGAGACGTGTGTCGCAGTGCTGGGGAGATTGTTTGAGATAGAGCTGGGATATGGAGGGCGGTTTGGAAGATTGATACAAATTTCAGGGATCGGTCGGCAGAGGGGAAGTACCGGGGAAAGATGAAGCGGCGCAGACTTGGAGACATACCCCTTACCCAATAGTCACATCGACGGAAACATATAATCAGATGTAGCTAATTATATAATTCCTCTGATTCATGGTTCGTCACACAGGCAGATGCCACAATAAGAGGAAGAGCTGAAAGACATCAGGGACCTACCCTGGGGACTAACTATATCTGCACTAGCGTGCGATCGATGTCCCAACAGTGACAATCCCCTCACACCGAGGACACGGAGCCAACACACACTAATTAGCCAGTTACCAGGGGCTTCAGGGCGTGTCGCCACCTGCTCGCTATGCATGCATTAACATGTCATCCAGCCGGGAGTGTCCACGCTCTCGTTCGGCCTCCATTATCGCACGGCTAAAACAGACCAACTAAGCCCCGCGCGGTGCGCGTCGAGACGCCGCGCCGCTCGGTCTCGGGTTGGGCCGGTGATATTGTCTGGGATGGGACAGCGGGCTCTGGGCCGCCCGGCGCCGCGATTTATCGGGTGTCCCGGCGGCCCGGTTTTGCGGCCATCGGTCGCAGCTGGTCGACACAGTAACCGCTCACCGGCAGGCCGGAAAGTCGGCAAAACGATCCGCGGGACAGAAGTGTAACCAAGGGGAGAGAACCGCCGCGGTCGGATGGCAAACTCAAACGTCTGAATTGGGAGCGAGTACGGTGGGAGGACTTGAACTAAAGATTGCTGTATCAATCCATGTAGAAAGCGTCACCGTTACACGCGGAAATAACGCACAATAACGAACACATCATACTCGGCGTAAAATAATCCACCACAAACACCGATCAGCTGCAGCATATGCGTTAAGACAGTAACATTCTTCTGTTAGTCAACACACTCGCGAGACCTCCCCCAAAGCGACATGGCATGCTCCCACAGCTCCAACCTACCTGGCAGCTCCTTTTTGGCCCCGACCTCGGCCTCGACGAACGACACGTGTATGCCGGAGGTGTCGGTCTGCTGAGCTGAGCCGCTGCTCGGAGCCGCCGCCAGGCTGGAGCTCTGCGCCACGGCCAGTTTGAGGATACGCAGCGCCTCGCGCCAGTGCTGTCCCTGACCCTGGCGAGGGGACGGGAACACCGTGATCAGACTGGACGGTCAGATGCTTCACCAGAGCATGGCACGGGCGAGCGAACATATACCTAAACGTGAATATCGAGACATTGATGTAACAGTTTAAAGGGTTCCTGGTTGCATTAGTCAATGGTCATCGACGTCCAAACTCGTTGCATGACGTCCGTTTATCCATCTGTTTAGTAAAGTTGCGGTAAATGTTCAGCCATGTCATCACTTACAATTCAGGTCAGATATGACGGCCAACCAAACTGGCACATTTTCCGGTAATCATCCACCTCTGTTCTACATTGACTAAATCAGACCATATCCAGCCCCCACCTGCGCGTATCTGGCCACGGCTCTCAGCAGGTCGGCGTTGATGGGATGGCTGGCCGCCTGTCCGAGGTCCATGTAGAGCAGCAGGCAGTGTAGCACGTTCAGGACCGGCTGCTGAACAAACGGCGGACCCTTCTCCAGTACCTGACGGAAGTCACGTCAGAGGTCAAACCACCGGCAGAGGTCAAAGATTACCGCTCAAGAGAATTAATTGGAAATTATATGGCAAAAGTTGGTGGTAAGGTGGAGGCGATGGAAGATCAACAGAACATTCTCAAACCCGTCATACACCACTAGGGAAACTCTTCATTGACTTTTACGGGTGAATCCATAGACGATGCATAGGTTAGTGAGGGCAGTGAGCACGTATAATTGATTGCCAACCCAACAGTGAAATATTCTAGCAACCATAACTTTGCGCTTGGCAACTGCGGAAGTGATCTTTGAACGCTGAAAGAGTTATCAAAGATACACCAAAACGTCGGCAGGAAGTAACGACTCTGCCAGAGCCAAATGCCGCTTAAAGTTCAAAGCATCTCAGAGTTACAAAGAGAAACCATAGCTTTTTGCCTGTCCCATAGCTCAGTTGGTAGAGCGCTGGACTCCCGGTAGTGAGAGCCCGGGTTCAAGTCGCTCCGGCGCTCGATATTTGAAACTCCTGACGGGGATGGTCTGCGGTTGGTGGGAGCAGCCGCAGCCAGTTGAAGTCAGTTGAGTGGGATAGGCCGTGTCCGGCTTTGAAGGGCACGTTAAACTTTGGCATCTAAAATCTAAATTCTCCCGTTACCCGGCATTGCGCGATCGGACGGTAGGGGTCAGGGTCTACGCAACAAGCTCTGCTTAGCGTAGGCTTCGGCTCTGTCAATCCGTCCATTCAAACATTCGAGCTAAATTTATAAAAAAAAAAGAAACGGACACAAAGTGAGCCGAAATCAATTTCCGCACAAACGCCCAGCCTCCGTTTCAGGGAAACTGTATCGATGGTGCACAACAAATTAGTCAATGCTGTCAACGTGCAACAGCTTATTTAACTTGCAAACGCACACTGATATGGTGGTAACTGGTAGCCATATGATACTACGAGTATGTATTGGACATTTTTTTTTCGTTGAAGGCATTTTTACGGCGACCTTTTCAAAAAACAGCTTCATATAATACGGAAGTTCTTTTCACGCACATAAGCACAGCACGCACGCAAACGCACTCCCTCCCCTCTCACAAAAACATACAAACCTACACGCTCACACCCACACCTATACCCGGGAACAGTCCCGTCCCATCTTGACACGCACCGTGGCGTGTGTAAAGTATCCGCGCGCCGGGCACTGACGCTCTGCTCTCCGGCCAAGTGGCAGAGCCGGTCCGCGATTATTGTCTGTCCACTCATCACTGAGAGGGAGGCGGTCATACGCAGCGCCCGGGGGCCGCCCTCCGATCACCGGGAGCCGATATATTACCACTTGGGGACGGCGAGGGCCAGTCATATTCGCCCGATATTCTCTGGTGATGCAGGCTGTCGATGTGCGCATCACCCCCGAGACGGAGGGTGTGTGCTGAGCGGCTAACCTATACAAATCGTCCCAATGGTCCTACATGGCGCAACGCGCTTGTCTCGAGTACTAGGCGATGCAGTGAGATTGTCTGTTTGGGGATCTCCATTGAGTGGCTAATAAAGAGTCAAACGATAAGACACCCCTAATAAACCACCGATTGAAAATAATAATAAACCTTACTTTATGATAATAATTTACCAAATTGATTCTCAATGCCATTGGTAAATGTAAGCTATCGGATTACCTCTGAGCATTACGTAAGGCTTTGCCGGAACCTACCCTGTTCTTTTATTTGCCCTTCAATTTTCAACTGAACCACTAGTCCATGGACTGTTGTAGTTGAGATACGTCAGTCAACCAGTCCAGTGCGACAGCTCGGACGTCTGAAGCGGTTATAACCGGACCTCCCGGCCGGAACTTTCCACCGGCAGTTGACGCACATCCGGCGGCGCCTGATGCCGTCTGCTCCGTCTCATTACAGTGACGGCTGAGGAGGGCCATTACCCTGCCAGTGACGGGCCGCGCCGCCAGCATTGACCGTCATGAGCGCGCCGCGGGGGTAGTCGCAGTCAGACTCGGCACCTATGGGCCAGGAACTGACTGATGAAAGGCACCCGCCGCCGCGCCGCCGCTCCCCTGACTGCCAGTGGACGGCGGACGCCGCAGGCAATCACCTGAAGGTGACACTAGAAGGATGTTGACCGGAACCGTCATCGGAAACTGCCGCCATCCGTCGTCAGAAACTACTTTCCACCAACGGGCAGCATTCGCGAGCCGCATGTGCGGCCGGTTCCCCGCTGTGCGTCGCCGTTCACCTATCGCAGCCAGCCCCCCGGCCGTGTAATGAGACTGTCAGGAGACGCAGCAAACGGGCACCCGCTGGTGAGGTGACGTTCGGGTTTTTATTTTCAGACGATTTTCTTCTCTCGTCGGACCGCTGAGCGAGCCGATTTTTAGGGCAGTGCTAGACAACATGTCAGTCAAGGAGAAAACATGGCATGATTGAAGCAACAAAGTGGAAAACATGCAATGAATAATAATGAAACAGTTTACGTTAATGCCGATTGAAAAATATGACGATCTATTGATTTTAAGTTACAGGTTCTAAAAACGATGAAACGCCCCTGATGATATAAAAGTGATACGCCCATGCAGGGATACAGATGAATGGTGAATTTCATTGAAAATACTCCTCTGCGTTTCAATAAAAAACTTTCCGCTCCATATTGAGCATGACCGTGATGAGAGCACGAGCCTATCTATAGACGCACATTGTAGCCTGTCCTTTACGGTTGTTTGGCTTTCTCCGAGACTGATTGGAGGGACGGTGAATGGGAATACACTCCTTTCACTGTCCTGTCAAGATGAGGCAGTTGGTTGTGATTACCTCCTTTGACAATCGCAGCTCTCGCCATCCGCCAGGGAGCGGTCCCTGGCGATGACTGCTGGGCGTGTTTGAATACAAAAGCTTTGACGACGACGGTCGCTAACACCACACATTTGCTGAAAAGCGCTAGTCGACAGCAGTACTAGACGGCCATTGCCCTCTTCCGCAGAAGTCCCTCACTTTCCGGACTCTCATAAAACACACACAACCGGTAGGCATCCCGAGAAAAGCTGCCAAGTGCTAACTGAACTCACAACACGCCTGGGTGAAGTCGTTAGCCGGAAGTTACGGTTACACAAGGTGACGGCTGTCTGAGCTGGTCACTGAGTGGTGTGTATGTCATAGTGTGTCAGTGTCGGTAACCCCTCGCACGGTGTCGAAGGAGAGGCCAGTGGTCACGGTGTCAATGACACCGGCGGATTCGCCGCTGGTAACGGCGTCTGACACAACTTGTGTCTCCGTGTAAAAGTGTACCCAGGCTAGCAACTGAGCTCCGGTCGGGGTGGGGCTAGAGAAAAACGGTACTCCAGGCACTAACCATACACTCGTCATTTGATACAAAACTAAGCTGAGGAGACGAGCATCCCATAGCACTCATCACATCACATCTATCCGGCCACATGAGCAAGTAAATGCGCATTAGAACATAAATTTACATTGACTATTGACCGCTCGTCAGTTTGTAATAAACAAGTTTCTCTTTGCTCATGTGTTTACCTGCGGTAATTCGCTGTTAACTCTATCCCTCGTAAGCCCCTCACTCTCCTGCACTCACCTCAACCAGGAAGGTGATGACGGTGATACTGAGATGGGTATACGTGTCCATCAGATACTTGACCACACACTTGGTCCACTGGAAGCTCTCTTTGCTGAACGTGCGCCGAGAGTAGAGCGTCATCACCGTGGCCAGGTTGTCCAGCTTCTTACTCTTCTCCATACACACCTGCAAACACGGGATCAGAGGTTAGCTGGCCGCACCAAAACGTCATATATCTACTAAGATTAAGTCCCTCCAAGTTTGACATCATCATTCTCAGTGGCTCCAAGGAGAGGGCGTCCTCGGAAGGAATGCATTAACCCGCGCCCCGCTGAGCTATTCAGCCATACGCGCCCTGCTGGGGGGGGGGGGGGGGCAGATTCTGCCCCCCCCCCCTGTCTAACTTCCGAACCGATGGTCGTAGAAAGACGGGGAAAACGGTAATCGAAAGCTCTCAACAAGGCGGATCTTAAGAGCCCATTTTTTTTGTTTTGCTTAAGTAGGTCATAGGTCAGGTCAAGGGTACAAAATGCAAGTTTCTACAGTATCGGCCTTGCACCGTAGTTGCCGAAGAATGGACTGAGACTGATGGCCCAAAACGTGTTCTTAGACTACCAAGACAATATTCGTTGCATAAAATGTCATTCAAAGGTCAAGGTCAAGGTCAGGTCAGGTCAGGTCAGGTCACCAAAAACAAAATATAGAAAAGGGCATGTGCGACACATGTTTTATGTGTCATTTTACTCATAGAATTCAATAGGCACACTCAATAAGTGATCACCTCTGGATGAATTTCAGGTCGAGGTCAGGTCAAGGTCAGGTCAAGTAAGGTCAAATTTTGAAGTTGGTTGTTAAGGCCTAAAAAGGTGTCTTTCTGATGCAGTTTTTCACGGCGAATCGAATGGTGCTATTTTTGTTTCCGTACGAGGTCTAGAACTTCCAAAAAAATCATTTTTTTTTCAAAAATTTTGTGTGTCGTAACGTCATAAAATTTTGAATAACTCCCACATTTTTGAACCGATTCTTCTAAAAATTGGTATGTAGGTGCACATAGACCACTTCTCTGACATATATTCCGGTTTTTTCGATACACTAAAAATTTTGGATTTTATAATTATTTCCCAAAAGTCAGTTTTTTGAAGAAAAAAAATTGGGCCAAAATACAAAATTTTCAAAAAACCGAGATAGCCATTTGATAGACAAAGTAGAATCACGTATAACCTTTTTTGTTACGTCTTGATTCGTTTAAAAATGAAGGTGTTAGCGGCGTTTGAAATTTTGCCGTTTTTGAGGCGAAAATGGCGAACATGACGTCACTAAAACGTCAATTTCTCAAAAAATTTCAGACGGATTTCGCTCAAATTTTCAGGAAACGTGTCAAATTGATGTATGATAAGGTAATGAAAGTTTGACGTCGCTGGCGTAACGCGTTTAGAAGTTATTGGTGAAAAACGGGAGGGGGGGCAGATTCTGGCGGGGCGCGGGTTAATGGTGTAAGCATGACTTAGCTACATGCGATGCTTCTATCTTCGGCGGGCTGAAAAAACATTACATCAGATAAATGATGAGCTAATAGTTTTTTTTTGTTCTTATGATGTCAATAACATAAGCAGCTTAATGGTGTCCGGAATGTATTCATCATCAGCAACCATAAGACAGCTGCCATGCACCCTCATAACGTTGCTCCAATAACATTGCATTGCATCTGTCAGCGCTGCGCAACGCACATACTGCGAACCGCCATACTCGTATGTGCCTCCCCTCTGTCACTCTATATCTCTGCCTTTGAACTGTAGCCCATTGCCCTCTGGTCGGGTACAATGAGCTGCAAATGAGCACCGCCCGCCGCCGCGCCGGGCCGGGACGGTCGCCAGCCGTGCTCCGAGCAGCGACAAAGGCTCGCTCCAATAATCGGCCACAAGGTATCCCGGTTAGTCGACGTCTCCTCGGCCGGGCTCCGGGAATCGCGGCTCATTTCGAAGTCATCCGGCGGCGGCTAATGCCTCTGACAGG